TTTTCTTCCTGCCCCACACATACGTGCCTGGGGGGGCAGGAATGAAATCTGGTCGCTTTTTCAGCAACCTCTTGGCGCTTGAGGGCCGCCTGTTTCCTGACAGAGCAAGTCAGGCTCCAGGCGTGATGCCTCTTGGCACAGTTGGGACACTTGGCTGTTGTCTCCTTCTTTTCTCTGTGGGCCGTCAGGCACACCTCGGTGTTATGGGCCTTACTACAGACACCACATTTGGGCTTGGCTGTACAGTTAGCCTGGTGGTGTCCATATTTCTGGCACTTGAAACACCGAAGTGGTTCAGGCACAAACGTTCGAAGCTTAAAGGTGCCCCAGTTACCCAAGTCAAGGGTAGTGGTTGGGGCACCTTTAAGTGTAACCAGGACTTGCCTGGTTGGAGTCTTCCCTACTGTCATTCGGGAAGCCTCCACTACCTGAGGATGTGAAGTGATTAGCTCCACATCATAGGAGACTGGGAAGCCAAGTAACACCATCTTGCTTCTCTTCTCCTCGGGGGTCAATGGGGAAAGACTCACTTTTCTCCCATCTGCGAGTTCCCTGATTTCCCGAAGGAAGTTCAGGGTGGCACGATCTTTCGGCACTATGATCATGCCTTGGTCTCGGGCTACTCGGATTGAGAGCCGGAGTTTTCTGTGCCTCTCCAATGCTCTCACCAATTGGTAGGCATTGTCGAAGCCTTCTGGTTTAGCTGGGACCTTGAAATGGGTCAAGCGACTGTGGCTGGGTCCGGACTCTCCGTCAGAGTCCGTCTCCGGCCTTGGTCGCTTCTGTGAGCCCTGTCGGCTGGTGGGCTCGTTCGTGGGGGGAGCAGCTGCTGGTTCGGCTGGTCCAGCCTGTGCTCGCGCCCCTGTCAGGGAAGCCACCTGAGGGGGACTCAGAGGCTTCCCTGGCTTGGGTGCTGGTCTGGAGAGACCAGCACGAGAGTCCATCTCTTTCACTCTCTGATGGACTATTCCGCCATCTGGAGGCATGTATGGCTCCAAGGTGGCTACCGTGGTCTGGGCATTGCATGGTTCGTCAACATTTTTATCTAGTGGGGTTTTTTTATTTAATTTCTCCATATACTGGTAAGTGCTTCATCCTCTCACGCCCCCACCCACCACGGAGTCCAACAAGGGGAAGCTGTGTGTCAGAGCCAGTGTCTGACAGCCACAGGGGTGATGAGAGGATATACGCAGCCAATAACCATTGTGGCGGCACTCACGGACCATTGTGAGTGCCAATGGAGGCATGACTGCTTGGCCCTAGCCTCCCGTGGGAGACCAGCCGATTGACCGTGACCGGGCCGGGATCAGGTCTCCTGTCTTGCTGGAATAGAGGACCAAAGAGGCGTGTTGCTAGCCGCAGGGCGTACTCATTCACGGCATCGCTCAGACTCCAGGACTCCCGTCTCCACAGCGCACGAGGCTGCCACGCACGGCAAACGCGTGGGTAGGTGTAAACCCCTGGGGGGAGACCAGAGGGGATGTCCTTTCACCTACGGGACATCATTGTTTGGAACCCTAGTGCTCGTCCCTCGGAGAGAGATGAGCCCTTTCACTTTTTCCGGCAGGTTCCTCTCATCCCTATCAAGGGAGGAGAGGGCCTGAACCTTTTTCAAAGTGATTTCCTCCTTCCTCTGAAACAGCCAAAGCTTGTTTCACCACAGTGAGGAAGGAGGAGTCCTGCACCTTTACAGGGAAGCTCGTTCAGCCCTCCAGTGAGGGAGAGAAGCTGCCTTTCGAGGTGGTTCCAGTGGCGGGACAATATCGTTGTAGGAGCCGGTGTAGGTGTGAACCCCTGGGGAGAGACCAGAGGGGATGTTCTTCCACCTACTGAACATCATTGTTTGGAACCCTGTGCTCATCCCTCAGAAGCAATCACACAATGGTTGCTTGCTTCTCCACAATGAGGGATGGAGCTCTTTCACTTTTTCCAGCTGTTTCCTCTCAACCCTGGGAGGGGAGAGGGGTTAAGCCTTTTTCAAAGTGAATTCCTCCTTCCTCTGAAACAGCCAGAGCTTGTTTACCACAGTGAGAAAGGAGGAGGCCTGCGCCTTTTCAAGGAAGCTTTTTCGCCCCTCAGAAGCAGCCAGTCAAGGCTGCTTCACCACATTGAGGGAGAGAAGCTAACTTTTTTCAAGGCGGTTCCAGTGGCGGCTAAATAAGGCAGTGTTCTATCTAGCAGCAGCTATTTTGACAGAGCTAATGCCAAAGGGGAGGGGCTCCTACCTGCCTATCGCCCTAAACGAATTACTAGAATGGCAGTCATTAACATGGTCTGCCAGACCAGTCCCTAGCAAAAAGATTGGCAACTCTCTGTGCACCGTAAGGCAGGCACGCTAAGGCCCCCCAGACACACCCTCCCCTGCGGGAGGTAAAGGTCTGCCCACGTCCGAGCACGAGCCCGAAGATGGGGTCCAGTTCACCAGAAGGTGCACAGAGAGTCATCCTAATGCCGAAAAATCCGTAAAGGAAAGAGTAGGCTATAGGGCACGAAGTTAGAT